AAAAAAAAAAAAAAAAAATAAAAAAAATAAAGTTGGAAACAGCTCGGATGTGATGGGAGTGCTAGGTGGTGTGAGATAGGGGTAAGGTTCTTATTCTTTGTGGGTTTCACTCCTGTTTTGTTACATTACTTTTAGGAATGAATGAATGAGTGGTGGCCATATGTGTTATGTTTAGGGGGAGGAAGTCGTGGGAGAATGAAAACAAATTTAATTTAATAACCATCACCTTGTTATTCTCATGTAATAATCATATATATATATGATAATTTGATGAAAAAATAAAAATTAAGGGGAAACCCCCAGATTTTGTTACCTGATGAATAAATTTTCTCCATAGCCTCCTCTAGAAGTTGTTACTCAATTTTCTCTTAAACCCCTCTAGTTAATTTGGGCAGAGGAGATAAAGATGTTTCATTTAAACCAGGTGTCCTCAAACTACAGCCTGCAGGCCACATGCAGCCCACCAAGGATATTTATTCAGCCTGCCGGGTGTTTTTACTGCCACTGCCTGTCCTATTTAGCAGCCGGCTCGTTCCCGGGGCCCACAGTCCCGCCCTCCAACAGTCTGAGGGACAGTGAACTGGCCCCCTTTTTAAAAAGTTTGAGGACCCCTGATTTAAACCATTGTCTGATCAGGGCACATTTGCTTTTATACCCTCATGATTCAGGCTTCAGTGTGCAATTCACCAGTAAGTCAGCTTCTCAATCATCCGGGGTCAGTCATTAATTTTGTGAATTATTGCAGTGACTTATAATAAATCCCATGTCTTAACCTTTGTCCCCAGCGTACCCCAGCACCTCCCACACGGCCCAGCATCTGGTATCTGGAAGCATGCCTACTAATTTGTAAAAGAAGATACTAGGAAGGTAGTTCTGTTAGACCCCAACCTTAAAAGTAAATTACTGTGCATTACGGACTGGCTTAGACTTGGTTTCCAAAGGACAGAGATGACCTTGTCCTTCACGCCTTCGGGTCCTCCACAGTGCCTGGCACACAGCAGACTCCGTGCTCAGAGAGCTTTTGTGAAGCTGGGAAACACATATGGTATTTGGAAGCTTTGGGCTCAGAGGCCTTGGATCATTTTAATGAATTAGAAGGGTTGCGCCTGGCATTTCAGTTTATAACCTGCAGTGTGATCAAACATTGTGTTGTCACAGCTGCGTTAGTCAAACTTGTGTTTCAGCAGCATGGACTCGTCTTCCACAAGGAACTAATAACTCCATTCCTATGGGCGGGCTTGTCATAAACCTGGTTTTATCTCTGGTTTTTCTTCTGGGGGAAAACTTACGGCTCAGCTGCAGCCTTGTTCCAAGGGCTGTTCTCCCAGACCTCTTAAGGATCATTCCCTTCCTCTGTCATCTCAGAATAGTTGGCAGTTGGGTATGAGCTCATTACGATGTGTGGCATGACACTTCATTCCCTGACCTCCTAAATTAAGCTGCGCTCAATGCCAGAAGCAGCAGGTCAAGGCTAGTGGACCTCCCCTTGGCATCAGCTCAGAAGCAGACTTTCTGCGGCACTTTCCTTGCTCTTCTTTTTTTTTCTTTTCCACGGGGCTGTTTAAGTTTTCTTTATTTCCTTCAGCCCACCCTCCCCCCCACCATTGTTTTTGAAATTATTCATCAGATTTCTGGTTTTGAGTGTTTTTTTTTAAGCTGTTAATTACTCTTAGACATTTAATGCATATGCTTTAATATCTTTCCCTGTTTCTTTCTTTTCTTTTCTTTTTTTAAGATACAAAGTCTCACTTTGTCACCCTCAGTAGAGTGCTGTGGTGTCACAGCTCACAGAAACCTCCAGCTCTTGGGCTTAGGTGATTCTCTTGCCTCAGCCTCCCTAGTAGCTGGGACTATAGGCGCCCGCCGCAATGCCCAGCAATTTTTAGAGATGGGGTCTTGCTCTGGCTCAGGCTGGTGTTGAACCTGTGAGCTTAGGCAATCCACCTGCCTCAGCCTCCGAGTGCTGGGATTGCGGGCATGAGCCACCACGCCTGGGACTTCCTCTGATCTTGTCTTCAGCAGTTACTATTAGTCGTGTTGAACTGACTCATTGTACCATTGATGCCTCTTGTTTTTATGTTTGTTGTCTTTGGGTTAGAATCTGAGTTACTTTCTCAGATTTATCTTTCAGTTCAGCAAGTCTATTTTCAGCTGAATCTAATCTGTTTTACATACGTATTGAGCGATGAGTTTGTTTTTGTGTCTAGAAGTTCTATCTAGTTCTTTTTCATTATCTTCTACTGTTCAGTGTTTGTTCTTTATGCTGTGTTTTTTCTTCTGTGTCCTTAATCATTCGGATCGTGTCGCATTTCTTTGCCCTCACGTACTTCCCAATAGTCTATTGCTTTTTGAGAAATGAGGCAGTAGTTTCCTCATTTTAGGATTTAATTCATCTGTCCTCCTCCAACCCTCGCTTAGGTCTGGGTAAGGCTTTTGATTTCAGCAGGTCTTGTTGAGTTAGGAAAGTTCTATCTGAGCCAAAGCGTGAGTGGTAGGATAACGATCTATATTAGAATCTGATATCCCATTTCTATGATTATTTAACCACATTAACCTCACCATTCTTACAGTTACAGAAGAAACTTCTGTACATGCAAAGGATTCTTTTTCCTCTTCTGTAAATTCTTTAGTCCAGATTAAAGTCAATCTCTTATCCTTATAATAAAATAAAACTGTTACTATTTATGGAGCATGCCTTTTTATCATGGCTTTAAAATCAGAGAGCTAGTAAGTTACTTAGAAAATGGAAAAATCCAGAAAAAAAGCGTATGTCATGCATTCCAGGCATAACCTGGCCACTGGAATGAAATTGTGTAAACTGCTCAGTCTTTCTAAGCTCAGCATCTGTGATGGAATCTGGGCATCTCAGATATGCCCCCGGGATTGTCATTAGAAAATCCCACTGGCTCTCTGAAATTGTTTTCAATTAGAAATGAAATGCATAGGCTGAATAATAAGTAGATTACTATGGCAGTGAGTTGAGGAAGCTTCATGCTTTTTATGAGAGCAAGCAAGAGTTTGGTAAGGAATTTTTTGAAAGGCTGTCAGACTTGTAACACCAATAAATCAAAAGTATTCCAGCCGGTGGCTGTTACTGGGGCAGAAACTCAAGTAACATGTATGCTACATCCATTCCTCTTATCAGAGATGAGCATGTTTTAAGAAGATGTTTAATGGATTCTAAGTGTCAAAGGCTGTAAATATTGAAACGTCCTGTAAGACGTATTTACATCTTATCAGATAGAGTCTTGGTCTTTGGAAAGATGAGAAGGTACAGACAGTGGACCACCACTTGTTTTAAAATGGCTCGAGACATTAGGTTCTTTGTGTTTCCAGCCATTGCAAACAATAACCTCAAAGGCAGTAGGAATTCTAGAGGCCGTTGGAAGCCAGTTTCCCTAGTCCTCCAGCAGCAGCTTTTTACTAACGGTCTCAATTGAATAAAAAATTATAGTTTTGCTCTCAACAACCCACTTTTGTTTTGCCGCCTTCTCTTGTGAAGATGTCCTGTCCACAAAATTAAACTCAGAGAACCCATCTATCTAACTTATATTATTTTTTGTTGGTTGTAAACGAGGCCATGGCTGGCTTTCGTTATGCAATGAACAGACACAAATAGCTTTCTGTTTCAAAAGAGGAAGGGGAAATCTGATGGAGAGGACAGTCGGTTGTGTTGGTTGGGTTTGAGGCAAATATTATGCATTTGAACTTCTTTGAGAGTTGGAGATGCTTCTAAATGACTTCCAGGTAGCCTCAGCCCGTGTGTGCAGATGAGGCTATTAATTTGATATCAGTGACTCTGTTTCACTAGCGACTTTTTATCTCTTACTGATTGTGGTGGACACCATTGTATCATCCATGGGTAGATGCAGCTCTTGACTATACAGAAAGTTAAACATTTCAGGTTCTGGGGCCTGCTTTCTTTGCAATTCTGGATGACTCTTCTAAGCTCTCTGAGATGTTTCCATATTTGAAATTGCATAATGTTTTGAAAAATTAGAAGGTCATAGCCTTTCAGAGCTTAGAAAAGCCCTTCAGTGTCAACGTAAGGATAATGAAATTGAGGCTGCCAGACAGTGGCAGGCAGGTCCAAAACTTAGTGTTCTGAGTACACGCCCTTCCTCCTTATTTCTCAGGATCTGGATGAATAAGAGGATTATGTGAGAAGATAAATCACCAATGTATAATAGAAAAGTATAGGCTTTGAACTTGAACTGCCTCGGTGCTGTTACTAAATCATTTACAAGTTTCTTAATGTCTCAAAGCCTGTTTCTCTTTTGTGAAAGGGGAATAATACGTACAGGTTGCTGACTGAGTGATTTTTTTAACGTGTGCATCTGTGCCCAGGCAGTGGCTAGTATCACTTTGTATAAACCCATAGTTTCATGTCACTGTCCATTGAAGTGGCTGCCCTCCGCCATAGGATCAACCCTAGGTGGCTAATTTCTGGCTGAGCAGAAACACGGACACAACTGCAGTTCCCACCTTATTACCAGAATAAACCTCCTTTCAGTCTGCCCTTGACAAGGGTCAGGGAGAAGGGGTGTGACTGTGTCTCTCTTCTCCGGTGCAGCCATCTATCACACCTGCGAGGCCTCCAACTTCCAGTGTCACAATGGACACTGCATCCCCCAGCGGTGGGCGTGTGATGGTGACACAGACTGCCAGGATGGTTCCGATGAGGATCCAGTCAACTGTGGTAAATACAAATGCTTCGGGCCCCACCGAGAACTTCCCCTGTGTCTGCTGTTCAGGAGGGGGTGGGAAGCCAGAAGATGGGCCAGGGAGTGAGATACCCGGATTTTTACTCTGGCAACTAAACAAACCCATGTAATATGTCAGGGCATATTACGTAGTCTTAAGTCTCAAGGAAGCAGTTTGCCTCACACACATACAAAATACGTGAAATGCCACAACACACAACACAAAATATATAAAATGCTTTTTCATACCCAATATTTTTAAGGTTCCCTGTCTTTCTTTTGCCTGCATATTAGACATTTACTCCTTTCATGTTAAAATATTAAATAAAGATGTTTTCATACACCTGTGTTTTTCAGTAGTTCGTATTTCTATGGAAGATGTTGATTCACTTTATAATAACATAGTTTACTTAGTTGTTTCTAAGTTGGCATTTAGCTGGGCATTTGAGTTCTTTTTTGGCCAGGGCTGTGTTTGAACCTGCCACTTCTGGCGTATGGGACCTGCACCCTACCCTTTTGAGCCACAGGCACCGCTGGCATTTGAGTTCTTATGCTGCCGTTTATGTTCTTAGAAACAAAGGCTCATTTTGTGCCAGGTTCCGCCCAGCTTTTACGATTGTCTGTAAGCATTTCCAGATTGCCTTTCCAGGAGAAGTGTGCCACATGCATCTCCACCAGTAATACATTGCATGCTTCCCTAAATCTCTTTTGATAGATTTCTTTTTAGTTGTTTTCTCTAACTTATATGTTTGTCTCATGTAATTGTAACTTACCACTTTGAACTTACTTTATTTTCAACTTTTTCTACTAAATGGTATTAACCATTTTCCCCAGTGGTGGGACCCATCTGCTGTTTTTGTTTGATGGCCTTTGACTAATTTTCTGGGGAAAATGACTTTTTACATGATTAGAACACATTTTCTTCACTTTTGCCTAATCCTCCTGGAACTAGTCTACCAAAAGCTGTAGTCTAATGTCCAGTGGTTGCTCTCTGCTCAGGAGAAAGGGTGACCTAGTATGGAGAGTACTGATGCCGTACTTCCAGTTTAATTTCCCCTGGAACTGGTTTTAAAACCTGTTAACATCTAGGCATACTTTCTCTAAAAGGACTTTGCTTTAGAATTCCTGAACAATTAAAGTGGGGGATGACTTAAAGAGCTTTGAAAAACTAGGGTGTCATTAGGATTCATGCCATTATTTTTTATGTTCACTGAAGTGTTTCCTTTTCTTCCTAAAAAAAAAAAAAAAGTACTTAATTTTTGAATAGGTAACACATTCATGTGCTTCAAAATGGAAAAAGTCGCTTGGCACCTGTAGCTCGTGGCAAGGGTGCCAGCCACCATACACTGGGGCTGGTGGGTTTAAACCCAGCCTGGGCCTGCCAAACAAGAGTAACAACTACAACAAAAAAATTACCAGGCGTTGTGTCGGGTGCCCGTAGTCCTAGCTACTTGGGAGGCTGAGGCAAGGGAATTACTTAAGCCCAAGAGTTTGAAGTTGCTGTGAGCTGTGATGCGACGGCACTCTACTGAGGGCGACATAGTGAGACTCTGTCTCAAAAAAAAGGAAAAAGTATAATTAGGTATCTAGTAATTGTTGATCTGCCTGTCTGCCCAGTACTCACTTTTTCCCCATAGGAAGCCATGGTTGTATATCCTTTCTGTGCATAGATAAACAGATTTAGATGTATTCCATATTCTGGTCCCATTTTACATAATCGATGTTTTATTCTGCATGTGGCTTTATGCCTTGCTTTCTCCCATAACTGTGTATCTAGGACATAATTTTTCATAGCGCACTTCAATCTCTTTATGGCTTCCAATGTTCCAGTGTGCGGTAATTTATTAAACACCTCCCAACTGATGGACGGCTTTCAATCTGTTACGAACAGTGAGCCAAGGCAGCTCTTGTGCTAACATTAAGAACAAGGTTGTAACCTGGTACTTAGCATCATTTTCCAATCGCCATCAGCAGAAAGCACATCTGTTAAGTGGCATTGCTGGATAAACGTTTATGTGCTTTTGTCTGATAATGTTGCCAGGCATGGCCAGTTGCTCTCCCTAGTGGTGGCCCAGACCTATACCCCCATCAGCGTTCTGTTAACACACACCTGCCCATTTCCCCTTTGGCATTCTCACCGGTTGTTGCATTGCATTTCAGAGAAGAAGTGCAATGGGTTCCGCTGCCCCAATGGCACGTGCATCCCGTCCAGCAAACACTGCGACGGCCTGCATGACTGCTCGGACGGCTCGGATGAGCAGCACTGCGGTGAGTCCACTCCCCACCCCAGCCGGCCGGCACCATGGCCTGCTGGGTGTGAGTGAAGAGCGTCTGCTGGACTGCAGCCTTTCGTGTCCTCAGCACCTGCTGCAGTTAGCTTTTAACTGACCTCTCAGTGCTTGGCCAGGACTCATGGAGGCCGATCATGGCAGGGAGCCATGGTTTGGGTAAAGGAGAGCAGGGGGAGGGGTGGGGGTGGGCGATGGTCGATTAGTTCATACTCCCGTGAATGTTACTATGTTGCTGCAATATGTTCTATGCATCTGGCTGTTTAGAATTCAATACTTCTCTACCTGATTAGATTTTATCACTGTTGCTGATTATTACCCAGGAAACATTTTTAGGCCAGGTGACCTTTTTGCTCCAGTTTTCTTTAGCCCCAGAAAGATGTCCTTGGGTCAGTGATGCTCACTCTTGAGTATATAGTAGAATTACCTGGGGAGCTTTAAAAGTACCTGCTGCCTGAGCGTCACCCCCTGCCCCCATCCCCACCCTGAGATGCCGATTGAGTTAGCCTAGAGTGTGGCTTGGGTGTTGAGAGTGCTTGCTCTGCTCCATTGTGCAGGCCTGTTGTGCGTTCCCGGCTGAGAGCTAAGGCATTAGTGCAAGGGTAGAAAACTGGCCTGTGGGTGAGGCCTGGCCCATAACCTGCTCTGTTAAATGACGTTGGCTTTGAATACAGTCACTACCGTCTGTTTCCATATTGTATACGGTTGCTGTTGTGCTAGAGTGGCAGGGTCACGTAGGTGTAACAGAGCATATGCCCTGCAAACCCGGAAATATTTGCTCTCTGGTTGGGTTAGTTGGGGTTCTCCCGAAAACAGAATGAATATGATATATGTGTGTGTGTAAAAAAAATACACACACACGTATATGTATATATAGAGAGAATATTAAGGAATTGGCTTGTGATTATGGAGGTTAGAAAATCTGAAACCTGCAAAGTGAGCCAGCAGGCTGGAGACCCAGGGACAAGCTGAGGTTACAGTTCAAGTCCGAAGGCTGTGGGTGTAATTCCTGGTGTCTACTCATAGAGGATGCTAATCCTTTTGAGTTAGGGTCCCATCCCTGTGACTTCATTTAACCTTAATTACCTTTTTAAAGGCGCTTCAGTCACCGTCACAGTGGGTGTCAGGGCTTCAGCATCTAAATTTTATGGGGACGCAGTTCAGTCTGTAACACTGGTCCCTTACAGAAAAAGTTGGTGACCCTGGTGATAGAGCATCAGTATCATATTTATTGATAGTGGTTAAGGTCCAGGCTTTCACGTCAGCTCTAAATTTCGATTTTGGCTTCACCCTCATCAGCTGTATGATTTTGGCAAAATACTTAATGCTGCTACTCTCTGTTTTCCCATTTTGAAAGCAGGCACAGCAAAGTCTCTTATATGCTGTCACGAAGGTTTAGTGACGTACTTTATGTCGAGGGCTTTACCCTGGGCTTGGCACAGAGCAAGTGCTCTGGGGACAGTGGCTCATGCTGTGATCTCCTGAGTGAATGCCCTTCTAACTGGCATGCATTTGCCTGGGGCCAGAGGGGCCCCCACCAGCCCTGTGTGCTCACGGCCTCTTCTGCTCTCTGCGCCCCTCTCAGAGCCCCTCTGCACGCGCTTCATGGACTTCGTGTGTAAGAACCGCCAGCAGTGTCTGTTCCACTCCATGGTGTGTGACGGGATTGTCCAGTGCCGTGATGGTTCAGATGAGGATGCTGCGTTTGCAGGATGCTGTGAGTGGGGCCAACGGGGGTGGGGACTCACTGTCACTCAAGACCCTGCAGGGAGTTTAGCTGCCTGGGGGTGCACCTACATCTGGCTTACAGGTCTTGATGGAGTATCCACACTTGCCTGTTGTGAGACTCACCTTTGTTTAAGAAGTACTTCTGTATAGTTGGCAGGGCATATAAACGGAGGCCAGTGAGGGCCAAGAGCCCATCTCAAGGACTCATTCCGTGGCCCCTTACCCTGTCCTTGCTCGCTGTCACCCCATTTGTACCTACATGTTCATGTGCTGTCTGCTGCCCCGCTTGAGCTCACAAGGGCAGGGACTGCTTTGTTCATTTCCATGGCCCCCTTTCTGAAACAGACCCTGGAGGGCATAGCCTTTGTGTCTGTTTGCTCCGGCTGCCGTAACAAGGTACCAGATTGGGTGCACAACAGAAACTTATTTCTCGCAGTTCTGGAGGCTAGACGTCCAAGGTCAAGAGTTGGTTTCCTTGGAGGGCTCTCTCCGTGGCCTTGTGGATGGCCGCCTTCTCCCTTTGTCTTCCTGTGGTCTTTCCTCTGTACACATCTGTGTCCAAATTTCCTCTTCCATAAGGACACCAGTCACACTTTATTAGGACCCAGCCTGATGACCTCATTTTAACTCTAATTGCCTCTTTAAAGACACTGTCTCCAAATATAATCACATTTCTGAGGCACTTGGGGGTTAAAACTTTAACATGTGAATTTGTGGGCTGGGGGATCAATCACTTAGCTCATAACAGGACTCAGTAAAGATCCATGGGATGGATTAATTAGCAAAATGTGTGCTCTGCAAAGATTAAGCTTGGTTTTTGCTTTCAAGGAATTTTTTAGTTAGAGGATCTCTTGGCAGAAGACGTTTTCTTTCTTCTCTTTTCTGAGTGGCGCAACTTCCCCCAGCTCCTAGTGCAGAAGTAATCAAGCTTTTGTGGATGTCTGTTCCTTATGCAGCTCAAGACCCCGAGTTCCATAAGGTTTGTGATGAGTTCGGTTTCCAGTGTCAGAACGGGGTGTGCATCAGTTTGATTTGGAAGTGCGATGGGATGGATGACTGCGGGGACTACTCTGATGAAGCCAACTGTGGTAAGAAGATTTCAGATCCGCCTCCTCGCATTCTAATCTGCAGCGACAGTGACACCTGTGGTCAGGGAGGGGCACATGCCAGCACCCCTCCATGCACCTGGGCCTTCCCTGCCCCAGCAGCAGCTGCCTGGTCCTGAATCCCCCACAAGGAACAGAGTCTTGAAGTGGGAACTGATATCTTACAGGGGCTAGGAAAAAGTTTATTCCATTCCATTTTCTTTTCCCCATTGGGAGAAACACATATATAAGAAATTTGGTAGCTAAGGAATTATGGTAAGTATTATGGAATGTTATATTTTTCCTCTCCCGAAAGTTACAGATCAGAGTAACTTTGTAACAGAGTTATTGTCACCATCAGGACACCATCAATTGTTATTTTATTCCTTTGGTAAAATGCCAGAATTAACACTCAAATGGTCATTTCCAGGATATTGAAGTGCAGGCGCTGGAAAGATGTGGTTCTCCTGAGGTGGTGGGTGTATTTGTTTGCTGGGTACATGAAGCTGCCTTGTCTCTCTCTCTGGGCGGGCCCTGCAGGTTGCCGTGGGACTTGGGCGGTGAGGAGCACGTGTATAGGTGGATCTTGGTGTTCACGCTGGTGCCAGGGAGTAGCTGATGATGTCATTGATCTCCCCAGAAAACCCCACAGAAGCCCCGAACTGCTCCCGCTACTTCCAGTTCCTGTGCGAGAATGGCCACTGCATCCCCAACAGGTGGAAATGTGACCGGGAGAACGACTGTGGGGACTGGTCCGACGAGAAGGACTGCGGAGGTAAGAGCCCCAAGTCGACCCACACCCAGGACAAACCAGTGTGGTTCTGCCTGCTCTGCAGAATGTGCCCGGCGTATTCCTGGCATTTTAAAAAAAAATTTCTTTTCTGGAATCGTGTCTGAGTGTTTTTTTCTAGTCTTCCTTCCCCTTTTGAAATCGGTGTGATTGATTTCTCCAGCTTCCCGGGTTATTTTTTCCCTATTTTGCTGAGCGCAGTGAGAAGTCTAGAGCCTTCCTACTCACAGTGTGGTCTGCAAACCAGCAGCACCCTCATCTCTTTGGAACTTGTTAGACATACAGAATCTCTGACTCTGACCCAGACCTACTGAATCAGAATCTGCATTTTAACCAGACCCCCAGATCCTACGTGTGCGGTGGTACATTGGAGAAGCACCCACGTGGGATGCAAGGTCGTCCCTTCCCTCCTTGGCATTTCCATCTCTGTCCCAGCTCTGGGGTTAGTTGCAAAGGAATTAACCAGAATGATGCTCAGCCTTAGTGAGAATTCTCTTAGCCACCCCGGGGCCTCCTGAATCACCTGTTTCTTCCATCAGCATTCATGAACCTCTGCAAAAGGAAGCTCATCCAAATGCTAGCCCAAATCAAATGCAGGAAGGTAAGGTACATTTATTGCCCCAAAGGAGAAGAATGTCATCTGTTCTGACACCACGTTTTACATGTTCAGAGCCATGCCTGCCACTGGCTTGGCTGGTCCAGCTGAAACGGGAGTGTTTATGCTGTCAATGGGTTTGGGACGATTTTGGTAGGGATTAAGCTTCTTGTGACACCTTGGGTTTCCTTGCTTGGTATTTTCCTCAGATTCACATATTCTTCCTTCCCCAACTCCTGGGCCCTCCACGTGTCTGCCCAATTACTACCGCTGCAGCAGCGGGACCTGCGTGATGGACGCCTGGGTGTGCGATGGGTACCGAGATTGTGCAGACGGCTCGGACGAGGAAGCCTGCCCCTCGCTGGGTGAGTCCTGACCCTCTCTCCTGGCACCTGCTGTGTGGAGAGGGCCTTCCAGGGCTGCGCTCGGGGCACAGCCTCACCGGCCCCTGTACCTTGGCAGTTAGGACTCTGCTTTGTGGCCAGCCTCTCTCTCCAGCAGCGCACCCTCTGTTTGGATTGTAGATCCGGGAACTCACAAATGGGGCCTCTTGTCTTCTGTTATTGCCCTCTGATATTCCTGTAAGAAAAGGCTAGCACCCTGCTCTCTTCCCCAGCTGCAGTTGGGTTACCTTTGTGCTTCCTTCTTAGTGGGAAATTATATATTGCAATTAAGTGGAAGAGAGAGTGTGTGTGTTACATGTATTGAACTCTCTGGAGAGCGCCCAGTTTTCCTGCTTGCTGGGTGTGCTGAGTGTGTTGCCGGTCCTGCTAAAAGAAGGGTAAGCACTGCCATCTAGTGGCGGAACTCAGAGAGGCAGCTGGGTCTGTGTAGTCTTACTGTTGGAGCCAGGATAGTCCTTGCAGCTCCATCCAGGGCATGCCCTTAATTGCAGTCAGAACAGAGGTAAGGATGCTGTGTTCTTTTCTAAGCAGGAGTCTGTTTCAAACTCAGTCATAATAAGAGAAAAGGCAGTTTGCCATCCTTTGCATAATCCTTTCCCCAGCAAACTTCTAGGTCAATAGTCTGATTTTCTTCCCCTTATGACTGTTCATTCCATTCCTTCCTTGTTTAAAAATTCTCAGTGGCTTCTCAAGGGCCCATGTGAGCTGACTTCCCCTTGCCTCCCTTTGTTTCTTGTTCTGCGTTTGTTCCAGACAGATTCCCTCCTTTCTTGACTATGTACCAGCAGCAAGGTTTGCCCTTATCAGAAACCCCTGTACCTTCAACCTTGTCCTGCTTTTTTTAATCAATGAAACCCGCCATCCATCAGGGTGAACAGAAGCACAAATTTTATAACAAAAGAAACCTTGATATGTCATCAGTATTTATCAAAGTATGGCACAAAGACCACCTGAAATGGAATCACCTAGGGGTGCTTATACAAAATGGAGAATCAGTTTCTGAGGGGAGCCCAGGAGATTCCTATATGATTTTTAGGTTCACCAAATGTGTCTGTCAATCAATCAATCAATCAATCAATCACAGAGTCTCACTCTTGCCCTGGGATAGAGTGTGGCATCTATCTATCTATCTATCTATCTATCTGAGGCAGAGTCTCACTCTGTTTCCCTGGGTAGAGTGTAGTGGTATCATTATAGCTCACAGCAACCTCAGTCTCCTGGGCTTAAGCGATCCTCTTCTTTCAGCCTCACAGGTAGCTGGGACTATAGGCATCTGCCACAGCCTGGCTATTTTTAGTAGAGACAGGGTCTCGCTCTTGCTCAGGCTGGTCTCTAACTCCTGAGCTCAAGCATTCCACCTGCCTCAGCCTCCCAGAGTGGGTTCACCAAATTTTTTGATTTCTGATTTGAACAAGTAAGGCCCAGCCTCCGTGGAGCTTTCACTGACTCCCGTAACTGGTGTCCATCTCTTGAATTTACCCATTAACCTTTTGATTCTTAACTATGTTCTGCCAGATACTGCTTCTAATAATTCCACACATATAGGTCTTTTCTTCATAGCAATTGTGTGGCTGTCCTGTGCTGTGATCATGCTGTGTCTGTACTACTTTGGATCTCCAACTATAGCTACTCCAATAATAGTCAAATAGTTGATGTCCTGTAAAATGCTTCTTAAATTAAAATGAATTGTAAAAAAAACAAAAAGCAACAAAACCCTTTTGTTTCCTTCTTTTCCCCCAAAGGCCCACCTATCCATTGAATAACTTGATTATCCTTTCGGAATTGTTTTTGGTTATTAAAAGTCTGACCAGGGTATTAATAGACATGAACAAATTCTGCCTAATCCAGCGAGCAAATCCTTATTTGCATATTCCATTCAGCTTTTGTGCTTTCTTTTTTGTGTACAGTGTCAGTGCAAATTTAAACTAGCTGTTGTCTCTAGCTTGTGGTTCTTATTTCTTCAACGCAGAAGCTAGAGCCTTCTGAAGGTTCCTGCATTATTCACGATAAATGGCATGATTTGCTTGGCCCGGCTTTCTCCCTGCTTTTATGTATGAATTTTTAAATCATCTTTCTCCTGGAGTTTGGGCTAAAGACTCCTTTGAAAATCCAATTAAAATTATGGAATATATGTGCTATCTTATAGTTAAAATTGCTTTTTTTATTTGTTTCTTCCATTGGCGTATCATTTGCTAATGCTTTCCACCTTTCAGAAGCCTCAAGATAACTTTCCATAGGGTCACCATATCCAACGACTTGCAGGCCCAATTTTTCTCTTGGACAAATCATTTCTAATAACTTGGACTCTCTTCTCCAGGCTGTCTGTTCTTTAGGCCTTTTGCATGTTGGGATTTCACTGCTCCCTGGGATTTCTCTGTGCTCTTCTCCAACTTAGGTTTCTTAAATATCGTGTTTTACTCTTTCTTGGTTCACTTTCTTGTTTTGGTGGAGCACACCCTTTGGTAGCTTTGTCAGACAGCTATGATGGTGCAGTGGCCAGGGAGGAATACAGTGCTGATGGCTTTCCATGTGTTTATCTCTGGAGGTTTGCTGCTCTGGTTCAGACCAGTGGCCCCCGTGCCTGGCGTGCAGGTGTCTCCTAGGCTGCCACTGCCATTATTATCCTAAGCCAGTATTTACAACCTTTTTTATTGTACAGCACACTTACACCTACATTTCAACTTCATGGCACCCTTAAATTATGTTGATTAAAAAAAAGTAAAATAAAGACTATACTTACTGTGCTTTGAGCTTATTTCAAAAATAATTAATCATCTTTAAAAAGTTTCACAGCACACCAGTTGGAAATCACTGTCCTAAGGACTCACTTTACCTACCTCTTGTGTTGGAATCCTGTTCTCTCTATCCCAGTTGTTCTCTTTTTTAAGTTCAATCCCATGTTTTGGTAGAGAATGTTTTCTAGTAAGTTCATGAGAAAAGGGGTGTGGGAGGTATATTTGAAGTCTTTTTTGTCTGAAAGTGTTTTTATTCTGTCTTCAGACTTGATTCATAGTTGGTCTGGATTTAGAGGCTAGATTGTACATAATTTCCTTCAGAACTTTGAAGGCATTACTCTACTGTCTTGACACAGTTTTGGGGGAATCCAAAGCCATTTTGATTCTAATTTATTTTTGTATATAACCTCTTTTTAATTCTCTAGAAGCTTATAAATCTTCCCTTTGGCTCTAGTGTTTTGAATTTTTACAATAATGTGCTTTCATGGGGTCCTTTTCTATTGGTGTGGTAGATACTCATAGGCTCTTTTATTCTGGAAATTTATGTATTTTGGTTTGAGAAAGTTTTTTTTTGAATATTTATTAATGATATTTTCCACCCTGTCTTCTCTTTCTTACTAAGGTTCTTGTCATTCATCTGTTGGGTCTGGTGATCTGGTCCTCTTAACATTGAAAAAAAATTTTTTTTTTTTCAATTTTTAAAAAATTTGCTATTTTTTCCCCACTTTCTGCAAGATTTACTCAATTTTATCTTCCAACTCTTCTACTGAGTTTTTCATTTATGCTATCATGGTTTTAATTTTGAGAGCTTTTTCATTTTTAGTACTATTCCTTTTTACAGCATCCTGTTTTTTTTTCATGAATAGATATTCTTTCTTTCTGAGCATATTAAGGGTATTTGTTTTTGAAATTTTCTTCTTGATAAGTTTCTGTTTCTTCCAGGTGAGTTTTTTTTTTTTTTCCTTTTTGGTTGTGGGGGATATGGGGCTCTGTTTTGGTTTCCATCTTTTATGTTAAAGGTTTTCCTTAGATAATCCTTGATTGCTATTTGTGCTTAAGGCTAGGGACTAAAATGCTGCTGAGTGATTCTGGACATGTGGGTGGACCCGTCAACTTTGAGTTTCATGGCTGGGAATCACAGGGACTCCTGGGCTTTGACTACTCCAGGGTTAGTCTCTGAGGCTGGTCATTTTCCCCAGACAAGACTTTTGGAATCTCTAGCCTAAATAATAATGATCTCAGTGCTAGTTCTCAGGGAGGTGGACTGGGTCCTCACATTTAGCTATCTGCAAGTTCAGATCTCCTTTCACTAGTAGGCTGTTTTTGCTGTCAACTGTGCCTGTTTACACCCTCCTTTGTTTTATCCCCTCGGGTAACAACCTTCAGTCTTCTACTGGGGTAACGTACGGTGAATGTCTTGGGGGGGTGGTAGGGGAGGGAATGTAGGGATTGTAGCTTTTTCTTAAACATTGTTCAGTCAGTTCCCTGATTTTAACTTCCTTTTTACCAGTTTCTGAGCTGTTTGAGGATTGTGTGGTATTGATCTAATTCGTTCTTACCTTTCTCTTTTGACAGCTCAAGGTCAGGTACAGCCTTCTCTCTCTTGCTGGTCACTTAAACACTGTCTATCTCTTTTCCAGCTCCCCAGATTTGTTGCTATTGTTGCTTTTGCCTCTACCCTTGTCCTTAAGGATTTGGGGCTTTAGAAACAGTCTCTTAACTGTGGCTTTGGTGGGGCAATGTGAGAGGGAGGAATTAGATGTCTATCTTCAATCTGACCACTTTATCCGGGGCTCACAGTTACCTTCAAGTCCCCTAAAGTGCTAATCTCCTAGCACATCGATTGGTTGCTATTATGGGTTAGCTCCCTCAATACTAAAAAGTGAATTTTGAAAATCTTTTCTTGTAGCAAATGTCACTTCCGCCTCCACTCCCACCCAGCCTGGGCGATGTAACCGATTTGAGTTTGAGTGCCAGCAGCCAAAGAAGTGTCTCCCCAACTGGAAGCGCTGTGACGGCCACCGAGATTGCCAGGATGGTCGGGACGAGGACAGTTGCCGTGAGTAATTGGAGGGCACTTCACTCCCAGGGTAGAGTTCCAGAGAGAACCTGTCTCGCTGCTTCTGCCTCGTTTCCAGATCCGCACACATTCCTGTGTGTGAGCCTGAGTGCTTTTGTGGGACCCATGTTTTTACTATGTTTTCCACAAGGGCTTTGCCACATGGACCCGTGTCACTGTGACTATCACCTTCTTTTTAATAAGCTGGCTGGGTGTTAAATGCCAGGAGCATGCCCAATAAAAATACTTTCTGAAAGATTGAGAAAAATATCTTAAACAGGTTTCATGCACATGTTTAACTCTTTAAAGTGCTGTGGGTAAAGCCATAATCTTCTGTATATGGATTTATACACACACACACACACACACACACACACATATATATTTTTTTTTTTTTTTTTGCGCATTTTTTGGCCAGGCCAGGTTTGAACCCACCACCTCCAGGCTGGCACCCTGCTCCTTTGAGCCACCAGGCGATGCCCACATGTGGATATTTTTCTGGATTGGAACTGATGGCTCTCAGGGCGTATCAGCTCC